TCTAGGCTCCAGAGAGTAATATGTTGTTAAATGCCATCAAGTTGGATACAACTCATAATGACCCTGTATAGGGTTTCAGAGGAGCAGTTGGTGGGTTTGAACTGTCGGTGGTTTGCAGTCCAATGTTGATCCTACTGTACCATACCAGGAGTCCAGAGTCTAATATAGTAAAAATAAATTCATGGTATCATTTACCTAATGGTTCACTGTGTGACATGTAGTCCTACTGTCTAAATTTTATGGAATATAGAAATAGTATTTAAATAAACCTGTGCTACTTAACTTGAAGATTCTCATTAAGTTAAGAAACTATAGAGTTGTTCTATAAACACTAAATTCTTTGCTTCATTCCTTAAATTCTTTTCCTGTGAGGTAATTTTCTATTCTTGATCTAAATTTGTTTTATTTTCACTGCTGAATTAGTAATATAGAAATAAGGAATAAAAAAGTCAGAAGTTACCTGAAAACCACCTTCATTGAGAGCTCTGGCTCCGTATGCAATTCTTTTTCCACCTTCCAACGTAGGCTGAATGCTTGGATGGTGCTTCCACCTCTGGAACTCTCTAAATGGGCTCAGGTATGGATTTTGATAGTCTAGACCAACCTTTAAAATGTTATATTTAAATCTGATACATTTTAATTTCATATTAAATCAAGCTAAAATCTAAGCCATTTGAAAATAATAAAGCTATTCCTCACTTATTGACACTTTGCATTTACAACCATAGTAAAAAACCCATCCTACTATTTTGCGCACTAACACTGTATATACATCTGGTAGTAACAAATGCCAAGGTATGAGGCAAGGGTAATGCTGGCTCTGCTGGTTAAGATTAGGTGTCAGATTAGGTTTGTCATGATTCTCAGTGATTTAGCCAGTTATTCAATGATGTAGTTTGGCCGTTATGTAATGATGTAGTCAGACTCCAGTTTGTGAGTTGATGTGGTCAGCTTACATTTTTGCATGATGCTAATTTTCACACAATGACCTGGTCTTTGATGCCTAACCATGCTGATATGTGAGGAATAGGTATATTTATTATAAAGCATAAAAGCTAAATTTCTTATACTCAAAGTTTGGAGAAACATGTAATAACCCAAATTAAAATGAATAAATGAATAAAATTCTTTTGGAAATCAATGTCCAAAATAAAAAATATCTGTAGGTAAGTGTCTAAGATTATGATTTTACAAAGAGAATTATAATTATTTATTATTTTATTTATCTAGAAATAAGCTAATTATACTAATATACAAATGAAGAAATGGGATGCAATCACACTTAGAAACAAAGAAATATACAAGCTTACATTTTTATAAGGCATTTCCAAGGTGCTAAAATTAATAACTAAACTTTTTGCTTTAATAAGATTAAGTCACTAGAAAAAGTACACAAAGGTAATACACAAAACATATAACTGGGAGTGAAAACACATCAACGAGGCATAGATTTAAAAATATATCATAAGTCTAATCATGGAACTAAAATTTAAAGCTACCAGCAGCTGCAAAGTGCAGAAACTTTAAGTGCTGTAATTTTTCCAATCTTTGTACTGTTCAATGTAATTTACTGTAAGGATGTAGGTGGCCAAGAAAGGAGAAACTGCTTTGAGTTTCACAAAATACATAGGTTTAAATACAGTACTAATTTCACATTCAGTGTTATTACTGCATGCCACAGAGGAAATGGATTTTGAAGTCAGACATGTTCCGATGTAAATATTTGTTGTTGAGTTTAGACTCATAGCAACCTAATGTGACGGAGTAGAAGTGTCCCAGAGTGTTTTCTAGGTTGTAATTTTTACAGGGGAGTCCTGGTATGGTGCTGTAGGATAAGCACTGGACCACTGCTACAAGGTCTGCAGGTGAAACCCATCAGCTGTTCCTTGGAAACCCTATCTATGCAGGATTGTGATGAATTGGAACTGACTCGACAGTACTTAACAACAACAACAACAATCTTTATAGGAAGAAATTGGCAGGTCATTTCTCCCACAGAGTAGCTACTTGGTGAGTATGGCTTTCCAACCTTTTGGATAGTGGACAAGTGCCTCTGGGGCTCCTTTTCATCATTTCATGTGTCTATTTGGGAATTTGTTTAGCTTGTTTAGATCTTAGCTGTCTCGCCAGTAAAATAAGGGTATAGCTACTTCATAGGATTCTTTTGAAGCTTATTTAGAAATTTTAATAAAACATCTAGCCCAGTGCTTGCATGTAATACCTTTTATAATAGTATAATTACATGTATACTATTACTATTATTTGTTATTGTGGTTAAGTGCCGTTGAGTCAATTCTGATCCATAGCGACCCTATATAGGGTTTCCAAGGAATAGCTGGTGAGCTTGAACTGCCAACCTTGCAGTTCAAACAGCTTTACAGTCTGGCGCATTAACCCACAGCGCCTAGCTATATGCATTTAAGTAGACTAGTGTTGATAATAGGCATAGGACTTTATATATAGATACCATTAGAGCTTTACATGAAAAGCATTTTACTTCTCCAGATTCAAAACCCTCATTTTGTAACTCTAATGATCCTTCTTTCATGATTATAACAGCAGAACTTTCCATATGGGGGTTATAACTTACCACAAAACCAAGCGCCACCATAGGTTCACCTTCATTTAAATGATAAAGGAAAGAACCTCCATAAGTGTGTCTGTCCAAGGGCCAGCCGACTGTGTGATCTACTCTCCCAGGTTTCCACTTCTTTTCGTCAATAATCCATAACTTAAAATTAAAAGAAGTTCTGGAGTATTAAGTGTTTCATGTCACCACACTACATAAACCATGCTAAACTTTATGACTTTTTAATGAAAATTACAAAGGAAAAAAAAAAAAAAAAAGCTGTAATGATGAGAAAGAAAAAGACAGTTTTGCATATTTAAATGATATAAAACTTCAGCATGATTGACTCAAGTGTTAAACAAATCAGAACAAAGTTTATTAGTGGCTACTAAGGATGGGAGGGAGAAAAATAGAGGGAGTCATTGCTTACTAGGCACTGAGATTCTGTGAAGGGTGAAGGGTGATAGAACAACTGGAAATGGGTAGAGGTAGAGGTGATGGTTACACAGTATAATGAATGTAATTAACGTCACTGAACTGTACATATAAAAAATGCTGACATGGCCAATGTTTTATTATAGATGTGTTGTTGTTATGTGCTGTGGAGTCGGTTCTGACTCATAGCGACCCTGTACAGGATTTCCAAGACTGTAAATCTTTACGAGAGCAGAAAGCTTCATCTTTCTCCTGAGGAACAGCTGGTAGTTTCAAACTGCTGACCTTTTGGTTCACAGCCCAATTTGTAACCACTACGCTACCAGAGCTCCTTTATTATAGATGTACTTACCACAATTAAATTAATAATATTTCCCTACTCATACAATGGACCAGAAAGCAGATTTTGGCTCCCATTCACAGTTTATAAGTCATAGTATATAAGAATAGAGAGCAAATCAAAGTGGCTATTTCCAGGAGGTTGGAGCTTTAAAAGACAGAATAGTAATTCAGAGGGTCTAAGCAGCCAAGAATCAATTTTTTTGAAGAAGAAGAGAGCAGAGTTTCAATACTGCCATCTCTCCTTCCCTACTACCATGGTATCTTTGGATCAAGACATCAGTCTTCAGAAAACCAACCCAAACCTCCATAAAGATCTTTTAAAATGAAAATCTTAGAGGAAAGGTGACTTGCATTAATCATTTCTGAATTAACAGAAAATTAAGCAAGACATTGGAAAGGAGATCCTTCACATTCTCTTTGAGAAGAGGGTGACTAGCAGTTGAGATTATGGGCGGGAAAAGGTCCCAAAATGATGTTACAGTTCCTAGAAGTGGGGAGACGATTGGGAAACCTAGAAGAACACTGGCTAGATGGCCATTAGAGGCTGAATAGGGGGGCATGAGAGTTGAAGGAAAAGGAAAAGAAAGAAAAAAATTTTGTAATATAGTACCTATCGTCACTTATAAATTCTGCTATCTAAAACAAATTAATTAATTTCTTTGAGCCTCAGTTTTTATACCACAAAAATAAAGGATTATAATGTACAACTGAAAAAAATGAAGAGGTCAGAAAGCTTATGAACTCTTTAAAGCATTAATTGGATTCTCAAATTGGTGAGACTTTTATGCAATGACAGAAAAATGCTGGAGAGATGAAGTAACTTTCTGAAGTAATTTTCTTTATTTTGATTGATCTGAGTAGTAACTATATGGGTGTGTTCACCTTGTAAAAATTTATCTAGCTGTAAATTTTAAATCAGATACTTAACACTATGTGTGCTATGCCTCAATGAAACAATTTACTCCCTCCTAAGAAGCTCAGCCTTGGAAACCCTGTGCAGGGTCACTATGAGTCAGAACCTACTCCACAATACTTAACAAGAACAACAACCAAGGAGCTCTGGTAGCGTAGTGGTTATGAATCAGGCTGCTAATCTCACGGTCAGCAGTTTGAAACTACCAGCTGCTCCCCAGGAGAAAGATGAGGCTTTCTGCTCCTGTAAAGATTTACAGCCTCGGAAACCCTGTACAGGGTTGCTATGAGTCAGAACTGACTCCACGGCGCATAAAAACAACGAGGAGCTCTGGTAGCGTAGTGGTTACCAATTGGGCTGCTAATCTCAAGGTTGGTAGTTTGAAACTACCAGTTGTTCGGCAGGAGAAAGATGAGGCTTTCTGCTGCTGTAAAGATTTGCAGCCTCGGAAACCCTGTGCAGGGTAGGGTCACTATGAGTCGGAACCGACTCCATGGTACATAACAACAACAACAAGACCCTCACCACAATTGAAACAAATTATTCAATTCAGACAGGTAAATTTTAAATTTTAAACCCAATTTTTATCTGAAATATTGTCTGAAAATTGAGATACCTCTTTTAGTCCAATTCCATAGGTCTGGGGATTACAGTTGGCTCTCAAATCAAACTTCTTATATAGTTGCTTGGCTAGATGTCCATGGCAACCTTCTGCAAAAATTGTGACTTTGGCATGTAGTTCTAGTCCTCTTTCAAATGTTGTCTATAAAAGCAAAAACATTTTAGAAATATTGAATTGCAATATTTGACAACTGAAGATATATTCACATAAGGTATTTGAATTAGAGTTATATTTGAATTAAGATAATTAAGCTATTTGAATTAGAATTCAATTGTGAATTGAATTCTAATTCAAATAAGAAACAAAAAATTCACAAACATCAAGTTGATTCTGAGTCATAGCAACCCTGTAAGGCACAGGCTACTCCCTAGGGTTTCTGAAACTAGAAATCTTTACAGGAGCAGATAGCCTCATTTTTCTTTTGTGGAGCAGCTAGTAGGTTTGAACTACTGACCATGAAGTTAGCAGTCCAATGCTTTACCAATTTCACACCATGTTATTTAAATATAAAAAAAGACACTGCAAATACGTAATATTAGAAATTAAACTAAGTATTGTAATAAGTGAAACAACTTAAATTTTAAAACATATCTTGTGTCATTTGTTGTATTTTGTTTGCTTCAAAATTACTTGATTGGTTAAGTTTGTACATACTTAAAGAGCAAATAAAGTATGATAAAAAAATTCTCTACAAATGAATATAAAGTGAAAAGACCATTTCCCTACTGTTGCTGATTTTCCAATTCTAGCATTTGAAACAAAAGCCTACTATTAACAGCTTTCTTGTGAATCATTTCCCAAAAGTTTCAGGAATAAGAAATTATGTAAAGTCTACTTCTATCTTTCTAACACAGCAGGGTCATACAAAATATACTTTTCAGCTACTTGACTTTTTTTACTTTAATTTTACTTGTTTCCTATTATTGAACCTATAATGAAAACGGAAACTATTTTTTTCCCTAATGTAGAGAATTTTTGTTTATCACACTTTATTTGCTCTTTAAGTTTGTACAAATGTAACCAATCAAATATAAAAAGCTGGAGTCCTGGCGTGGTATAGTAGATAAGCTCTTGACCACAAGATCATTGGTTGAAACTCACCAGTCGATCCAATGGTCACTATGGGTTGGAACTGACTCAATGGCACTTAACAATAACAACAACATATAAAAAGCTAAACTGGAAGTCTTTTTTCTTCCTTAAATATATGTTTCTAGGAGTCCTGGTGTTGCATTGTGGGATAATGTGTTGGACTGCAAGGTTGCCACTATGCCAATCCATCTCATTAGGGCTCTTCTTCTTTTTCTCTGACCTTCCACCTCACCAAACATGATATCCTTCTCCAGTGACTAGTCCCTCCCAATAATATGTTTGACGTATGAGAGAGGAAGTTTGGCCATCCTGGCTTCCAAGAAGCACTCTGGCTGTACTTCTTCCAACTAAATATATTCTTTTATAATTGTCTTCACTTTATAATATATGTCTAAGGCAGTATACACCAAATAAAGAATTAATGTTTAATTGAGTTGCTGTTGTCAAGTGATGTCAAGTCAGTTCTGACTCTGTATAGGGTTTTACAGGAGCAGTTGCTGGGTTTGAACTGCCGAGCTTGTAGTCAGCACAGTACAGTACTTATCCTAGTGCCACACCAGGACTCCATTCCAATAATTAAAAAATATATATTTCATTTTGTTTTTAGGTGAAAGTTTGCACAGCAAATTAGGTTCCCAGTCAACAATTCATACATGTATTTATTCAACAATTGTTTCATGACACTGGCTACAATCTCTGTAATGTGTGAGCACCTTCCCTGTTTCTACCCTGTCTCATTTCTATGTAATAGAATGAGCACTAAACTGCTAACTGCAAAGTTGGCAGTTCAAACCCACCAATCGCTCCTTGGAAACCCTACACAGGGTCGCTATGAGTTGGACCTGTTGCAATTTCATTTAATGACAGTTTCCCTACCTCATTGCAATTACCTTTTAAAAACAACATAAAAAGCGATTATACACATGGACCTCACAGGATGGAATACACAGGGATCAAACTGACTACATCTGTTAGAAGAAGCAGTGAAAAAGTGCAATATCATCAGCCAAAACACGGTTGGGGCAGGCTGTGGAAAAGACCTTCAATTGCTAGTATGCAAGTTCAGGTTGGAACTGAAGAAAATTAAAGTTCATGAGAGCCAAACTATGACCTTGAACATATCCCATCTAAATTTAGTGATTATCTCAAGAACAGATTTGATGCACTAAAGACCAGAAGAATTGTGGAATGACAGCAAAAGTCATTAAGAAGATAAGAAAGAAGGAAAAGACCAAAATGGATGTCAGCCAACACTCTGAAACTTGCTCTCCTGCATAGAGATGCTAAAGCAAATGCAAGAAATGAGGAGGTAAAAGCTGAACAGAAAATTTCAAAGGGCAGCTCAAGAATACAAAGTCAAGTATTATAATGAAATGTGCAAAGACCTGGAATTAGAAACTCAGAAAGAAAGACCATGCTCAGTGTTTCTCAAGCTGAAATAATTGAAGAAAATATTCAAGCCTCGACTTGAAATATTGAAGGATTCTGTGGGCAAAATACTGAATGACACAGACAGCAGCAAAAGAAGATGGACGGTATACATAGCATCACTGTATCAAAAAAAAAAAAAAAAAGGTTACTGTTCAATAGCAACCATTTCAAGAGGTAGCATATGATCAAGAACCAATGGTACTGAAGGAAGAAGTCCAAGCTGCACTGAAGGTATTGCTGAAAAATAAGGTGCCAAGAATTGACAGAATACAAATTAAAATCTCTCAAACAAACTGATGCAGCACTGGAGGTGCTCATTCATCCACACCAAGAAACTTGGAGGCACTCATTCATCTATCTGGCTAACTAATTGGAAGAGATCCATATTTGTGCCCATTCCAAACAGAGGTGACCCAAGACAATGTGGAAATCATCGGACAATATTATTAATATTACATGCAAGTAAAATTTTGCTAAAGATAATTAAAAAACAGCTGCAACAGTATATCTATAGGGAACTACCAGAAACTCAAGCTGGACACAGAAGAGAATGTGGACCTAGGGACAGCATTACTGGTGTCACAAGAATATGACTGAAAGCAGAGAAAATCAGAAAGATGCTTTATTGACTATGCAAAAGTTTTTGACAGTGTGGATCATGACATGCTATGGATAATATTGCAAAGAATGGGTATTCCAGAACATGTGATTGTGCTAATGAGGAACCTGTATGTAGATCAAGGGGCAGTTAGAACAGAACAAGGGAATACTGAATGCTTTAAAATTAGGAAAGTTGTGTGTCAAGGTTGTATCCTTTAACCATACTTAATCAAACTGTATGCTGAGCAAATAATCTAAGAAACTGGATTATATGAAGAAGAGTGTGGCATCAGGATTGGAGGAAGACTATTAACAACCTGTGATATGCAAATGATACAACCTCGCTTGCTGAACATGAAGAGGATGAAAAATACTTATTGATGAAGATCAAAGACCACAGCTTTCAGTATGGATTGCATCTCAATATAAACAA